AATTATCTTGACAAACACTCACCATTTCTGAGTTACACTTTGCTTCTTCTTGCATGTTTATGCCATAAAGTATTTCTGGCTTTAATTTACTGCTTTAAAAGAGACATGAGCAGAGTGATAGTGATACTGTATGTTAACAAGAAATGACTCTGAAAGGCATTAGAACTAAGGCCATATACAGGAAGAGTGTTAAAGTTAAAACCACTGCTATACCTTAAAGAGGAAGCAGAGCAGAATGTAAAGGAAAGATGGAGTGGAGCAGTGCATTCTGGGATGGGGTGAAATGTTATGGAGTTAGATTGATGAGGATGGATAGTGGAAGAACTGGTCTGTTCAGAGCAGAGATGGAGAGACAGATTAGACAACAGGGAAATACAGATTTTGATTATATGTTACATAGAATAACATTAAATTGCTATTTAAATCTGGAAATTGCTCAAACGCTCTAACCACTCAAAGAAAATACCCTATATCCACAGACACATTTGGTACTTAAGATTAATTAATTTTTTTAGAATGCTCTTATGTGTGGAACAACTTCTTTACACCACCAATTAAGTATCTTAAACTGCCTAATTTTTCAAAAGTAATCATTTCATTAGGTGTTTAACTCTTTACAGTGGAAAAATATATTTTTTCATACCTTGAAATAACAGAAACACTGTCTATACGACATGCAAACATGTTGGTTTCACTTTCCAAATATGTTTAGTCACAGAAAACGCATAACAGCAAGTTTAGATGGTGCCATGATACCTTATCAGGTACGTTAAAGTTTCTGTTTTCCTCCGACTGGGGGATCTGGGTTTCGCTCTGATGCCTAAAATGAGACGTTCTGCGACTGCTTAACTGTAACCACAAATTAAATCCCATTCAATATGTCATAAAGCCGCACTCTGAGCATACAGTAATGATAACTAACCTACAATTATTTAGAAGATTGCCTAAGCCGGTGACCTCCAGCATGCCAGATGTCAAAACACTTACACTAAATCCCTCTCCACTGTAATTATATTTCCTAACTTAGCTGAGTGACGAGAGAACACTCACCAGATGGGAAGAACTCACTGTTTCTCCCTGTATCTCCTTTATAAAGTGCTTCACATGTAATGGTTTGGTTTTAGACACCTTAATCAAATGGATGCCAGTGGAAGAGGAGAAAAAGTAAGAATTAGATTCAGCAGACTGGGACAGAGTGTAAAATATGCACGTGCCCTTACCTGCTGCAACAGCAGAGAGGGATAGGATGAAATGAGTGGAGGAGAACAGGAAGCAGCAGTGCATTGTGGGAGAGGGCATGAA